ACTGACATCTTGGCCAGCCCAGATCCAAGGATTTGCTGTGATAGCAAACCCTGCTGGGCCTGCCGGAAGAGAGGAAATGTGTAGAGCTGTAGAAGATCTTCAGAAGGTAGAATCTGCAGTTTGGTGGGTGTGTGGGGTGGGCAGGTAGGGAGTGGAGGGAGGTGGCACTGAAGCCCAGTCTTCTGACTGGAGCAACTGGATGCCAGCTGGTGGTGCCATGACCAAAACGGAGGGCATGAAGGAGGCCTGGAGGGAGAGTCTGGGCTCCAGTCTGAATCGGAGGACCTCACATCTCTTTCTGGCAGAAATGTCCAGGAGACAGTATCAGGAGAGAGAAATGAGATTGGACTTGAGGTTCATTGACATATGCTGGTGAGAAAAGCCATGGGAACAGATGTCATTACCCAGGGAGAGGACCTCGGGAGAGTGGGACATGCTGGAGCCCCAGACTGAACACCAGCAGCATGAAAGGTCTGGGTAGGAGAAAGGTGTCTGAGGGGAGAGCCAAAGAGGGGAGGAAAACCAGTTTGAGTGGGGAGGCCCGGAGGCCAATCTAGGTCCACTCAGCAGCGCTCAGCAGAGCCAGCACGTCCTGAAGTTACTGCCGTTAGCCTTGGGGCACAATTTCTTTCAGCCTTTCTTCTTTTTCTTTTCTTCGGGTACTTCTGTAATCATGGGCTTTTAAAAAAATTTAATTAAATCTTTAAATTGCAGAAATAATACGTGCCCATTGTAACAAGTTAAATAAAACAGAGATATATGAGGGAAACATCATAAACAGTTTCTTCTAAATCAGGTCTGTGTCCCTAACACACACACACACGCACACACATCGTACACATACAGCACACAGGCATACATCATATGTACACACACAGCACACACGCATACATATGTACACATACAGCAGACATGCATACATCATATGTACACACACACCACACAGGCACATAAATGCACGCTATCTCCTGCACGTTTCTGCTTAATCGATGTTAGGACGCCCTGGATGGTTTTTGTTTTGTATTGCACACAAATGGGAGACCATCTGTCAGAAATTTTTTTTCACAGAGTATTTCATGTATATACGGATGTAGTTGATCCCCTGGTTAACTGCTATTTAATGATCTACAGTTTGGCAACACCAATCTTTTTGTTTTCATTTCAAATTTTCTTGAAATTGTACTCTACATTATGATCCTCGTTTTTGCTTATTTTTAAATCAAGTCTCACGTCACTAAGGGCCCTCTGTAAATGTGATTTCAATGATGGCATCGTATTTCCAGAATGGGAGTATCTCATAATTTACCAATTTACTTTCTTCCAATTTGGGGCCATTAAAAAATAAAACCACAATGAGTATCATACAGTATTAAACTATGTCCACATTTCTGGATATTTTCTTTAGGGTATGATCACTTTTAGAGTATCCTCGCTACCAAATTGCTCTTTCCAGAAAAACCATATCAAACTGTTCTCCCACTAGCAATGACTGAAAGAGGGCCCCAACATCTTTTCTTAAATGTTTACTAATCTGCTAGACGAAAGTGGCATATGATCACTTCAGTTTGCGTTTTAGATTACTAGTGAGGTTAATTCTCCATTTGCAGCTCTTCTAAGAACTGTCTGAATAGGCACCGATGCTCTAGTTTTCCAAGGAGGAGGTGCTCAGCCTTCCGCCCTCACTACCACCCAGTCCTACCCCTGAGCCCTCCTGCCCCAGAGGTTTGGACCCTCCCTTAGCTCCAAAATGGTTCTTTTCCTTCTGGTCCTGCGTCTCTTACCATCTGCTCTCATGCGTCTTCCATCCCTCCACATCCCATGGCTGGCCTCTCTGTCTCTTGGCTTCTGTGCCTGTGGGTGCCCCTTGCTCTGCCCCCCAAAACCCTTGCACCGGAGAACAGAACAACCAAACACAAGCCTAGAATGTTCAGGCAGGCTGCCAGGGCCTGCCATTGGCCTGGGATGAGTGCTGACAGGCCAGCAGACACAGCAGAGGCCCCTGCTGCCCTGACCTGGGCCGGGAAGAGATGGGAGGCCACCACTAGGGCCTCCCCTGCAGGGACCATGCACAATCCCCCCATCTTTCCCTTTCCCATTTTCCTCCTCTCCCCATTATTCTGACTCGGGCTTTAACTTTCACAAATGATGCCATGTGCTGGCTTGGGGTCTCTGCAGGAGAATTTCTGCACTCTTCGGGGCACTGGGGCCTGTTTGCCCTTGTTAGAGAAGAGGGACCCTCGATGCTCTGCAGACCCCGTCAAGTCTGCGGTGATAAGCAGGGCTGTTGGAGCTGCACCGTGTAAACCTGGCCCCTCCGAGTGAGACTTCACAGAAATCCCACTGGAGATTCTTCGGCCCCTGCGCTGTCTACTTTCCTTCATAATGATAAATGGCTGAAAAGAAAACTATCTAATCTCCAAACTGCTTGCTTTTTTCTCCCCCCTCTTTCTTTAAGGAGAGAAGGAAGAACACAGTCACATAAAACAGAGTCCTTCATCGCCTGCTCCTCAGGAGACGGTTCTTTCCCTTTTCATCCCGGGCCTGTTTCTGATCTGTGATGGGTTTGCATTGAAAGCTCCAGCCTGGCCCTCCCTAATCAGCTGCGACAGCCGCTGTGGTTGCTCGGGTTGCCCATCGAAATTGAATTGATTACCCGGCCCCTTTGCCATTTTGTTCGGCTCACAATTGCTTAATAGCTGTCACCTTGGCTTTCAGTCCAGGCCGGCTTCAGGCTGACTGGTTCCCATTACTCGGGATGGCCAGTGCAAGTTCATCACCTTGACAGGATGTCCCTGATTGGTTCCGTATGCCTTGGAGAGCTGTCATCGATTTGCGTGGGGGCAGAGAGGGCTTGCAGGGGACGGCATGGAAATCTCTTGGCTGCAGGAATGGCCAGGTTTTGCTGCAGAGCTCACCGCATTTGAATCATTACCAGGTCTTCTTGTCAGGAGTGTGGCCTCTACCGACATAGCTGCTAATGAATTTGTAAATTTTTTAAAAATACCAAACAACCCAGCCTGGTCTAACCTTTGCTGTCGCCACCTGCCGCCTGGGTGGGGGTGGCAAGCTAACAGTCGCTCCCTCCTCACCCCTTTCCCCTGCCCGCTGAGCTGGAGACCCGGCCAGGCTGGGAGAAAAACATCTTTCAAGCGAAATCCTCTGCGCTGGGAACTACTTCAATTAGACAGCAGGGGGAATGTTAACATGCCCTCCGGCCTTTTAAGTGGGTTTTAATTTTATGTTGTAAGATAAGACACTGCAAGGCTGGACTGCTACTCCTTGAGCAGGCTCCATTAGTGGGGCGAGCCGAGGCCTCTTGACCCCCTGAGGCCCAGCCAAGGCTGGAAGTTGGTTTGGTTTTTTAACAATTTGTCAGGCTGACCCAGCTTCTCTTTCCCTTCTCCCTTTTGTTATTCCAGGCTCTTCTGCGGTTGAGGGCCAACTGTTGGTGGCTGAGTTGCTGCTGAGAGGCCTGCCTGGACTTCCCCCCAGGGGCCTGGCCCTGGGCTGGAGAGCACAACCCCCAAGGCCACTGCCGGGGGACGGGCAGCTGAACGTTAATTGGCTTTTGTCCCCTTCCCAGGCAGGGCACAGCAGAAGCAGACCCTTTTCATGTGGCAGGTTTCTGGCTGATGATGTATGACCTGTTGGCGCTCCTGAATGGTGCCCTTTGTTTCAGGATATCCCATGTGCCCCCTTTTTATTGAGCTGTTGATTCAGAGGGGCAGGAAAGTTACACAAATCCCACTGCAGGCCCAGCTCTGGCCATGCCCAGGTGGGGAAGCCCAGGGACCTCACGCTTCCCAGCAAGCTGGCAGGAAGCTGTGGGCTGCCTCAAGGCAAAATACCCCTTTAAGAAGCGGCTTTCTTCATGTCAGACTCAGCCAACCACGTGTTTGGAGAGAACCTAGGAACATCCGCATTGCCCCCAGCCCTCTGACTGGGCTTTAGAAGGTATGGAGTGTCCCAGATGTGCAGTCTTCGCCCAGAATAAAAGAGCACAGCAGGTGGGAGTTAGGAAGAGCACCTTCCCCCACATCCCCTGAGCCAAGCTTACATCTTTCTCCATAACCAAGAAGCCCAAGGTGGGAGCCAACAGCTAAGGGAGCATGGGGCTTGGCTTCCTGTTCTGCAGGAAGAAGTCCAGCTGGAGAGCAGCCCTAGAGCCACAGAAAGACTGCGGGGAAACAAGAGACAAGGTGGACTCCTTACCCAGCAGGAAATCTTGTTCAGCCCTGACAGGACAAGGATTCAAGGGCACACCTCTCTTGCCTTCTCTTTTCCTGGGTTCCCAGAGCAGCCTGCAGTGGAGATGCTGGATGCAAGTGAGCAGCTTTGGGGAAGGAGCCATGAGGGGCAGGGCAGGTGGCAAGGCCTTAAGGAGGGAGAGGCAGCAGCACCTTCCTATGCCTGCCTCTTGCAATCTAGAGTGAACCTGGGCTGGATTTCACCTCTTTTTTCCTCTCTCTATCTTGTGGCCAAGCTTCAGGGACCTGGCAAAGGTGTGGGCAAATGGGGACTTTGCCAGGCCTTGACTCACCCTCTCTGGAGTGATAGTGGTGATGAGCTCACACCCCTGACTGCTCCAGGAAGCCCCTGGTACTGACTTGAACCTGCTCTTCAGTTCCTTTTCTGAAGCAGCCACATAAAATCCCACCAGAAATTCCCCACTTATGAGACCACTTTCCCCAGATGGCCAGCTTATGTGTTGACTGCTGAAAGGAGACAAGATTCTTCTTTTACTGCCTGGCCTGCCCTTCTGGAGTCTTTGTGGACCCTGGAGCCCAGATTCATAACCTGAGGAGTAGCATGAGATCAAAGATGCAATTGCTCTGTTGGTCCTAAGTGATTTCACTCTGAGCTCAGAGGCTCCACAGTACAAATGTTCAGAGGCACTGAGGGCCTCACCTGACACTTGAGAAAAAAATATTGGCAAAAAGGAGGCAGAGGCCATTGCAGAGGCAAGAAATAACAAGTCAATAATAAACAGTATCACACACTTCACAGTTGTAAAATGGCTTTATGTTCCGATATGCAAAATAAAACGTCCATGCTATATAACAAAACACTTGAAGTTTCATATCACCTGTTAGCTAATGTGTTTTCTAAAAAAGCTTTATCTGTAGTGTGTGTGTGTTTATATATATATATATATTTATTTATTTATATGTTTTATCTAAACCATTTTTAGTTTTTAATATCAAACATGTAATAAAAATTTAAATAGATGTCTTTCCAAATACCCCCTCCAATGTTCATTTTTATTAAGTTCATTCATTTGTAAAAAGCAAAGCTGAATTTGACATGTGGCCTGCATTTGTGAGATATATATATATATATATATAATATATTTATTTATTTATATAATATATAAATAGCTGTTCAGCATGCAAAGAGTTTAGTGATTTCCCACGTTTGATGGAGAGTTCACCCCAGCCACACTGATGGCCTGGTGGTGTTTGATGCTAAAATGCAGGGCTGAGGACTGTGTGAGCACCATGCTAGAGAATTTTCTTTGCTCCTCTGAGCTCGCTGGCTGAATTTACTGGAAGAAATGAATTTTTCTCAATTATCTTTATTTCTGTTGGCTTTCTAGCTCCAGAAGCATAGATTTTCTGAGAGAAGAACAGGGGGATGATGCCAGGTGGGGTGTGTTTCATAATTGCCCATCATAGGATGCAGATGGTATGGTGCCTGGGAGGCTGACTCTCCGCACACCAGAGTGACAGACTGTATGTTTGGGATCTAGGGGGAAGGGCTCTGTGCTTTATTACAAAACCTGAATGATGACAGAGATGCTACTGGTTGCATCTTTTCTCCTCTTGAAGGAAAAAATAAAAAAACCTTTAAAAATATCCCTCAGGTGACATTTAGCACATGACCCTTTCCAATCGTCACCCCTCAGACCTCTGAGCTCTGGTAATCAATATCTAGGCCACTCACTGAGCAGCCAGCTGCATTCTTAAAGTACACTTTGTGGCTTAGCTGAGCCCATTCTCAGGCAGCCTCCCAGACTTGTCAGAAACCAAAGGAGTGGGCCTCCAGCTACCAAAACAAGATTCTCAGCTCCCCTTGCGAATAGAAGGCCAGGACCTCTACGGTGTGCACAGAGCCCTCACACCCAGCAATGAGAATCTTTCCCCATTGGAGAGACTTCACCACCTGGCCCCTGAGAAAATCAACAATTACAAAACCCTCTGAATCACTCATATGAACCCTCCACTCCCATCCCATCCATGGGCATGTTAAGAGATGTCAGATTACAATGGACCCAGGTCCTGTAGCCAAAATCACTTCTTAGATAATTGTGGTTTCTTTTTTCCTTGCCATGACCTCAGTTGTATGTCAGAAGACAGATGCTCTCCACATACATACATGCTCACGTGCACACACACACACACACACACACACACACACACTCCCTCTGGAATACCTCCCTGTGTTCCTTGGTAGTGCAGGCCACCCACAGAGGTTAGTACTGGAGCAACACGGTCCCGGGGCTGTGAAGCAGGCATGAGACTCATCCATCAGTCCAGTTCTCCACAGTCCCCATTCCTGAATGGTACTGTAAGGAAGATTCTCGGGACAAGGAGAAGGTTTGAGAGTAGAGAAACTCATTGGCAGCATTCAGATGCGGAGAGGGTGGCTTCCTCTCACACCCCGGGGGGAGGCCGCGCTCTCTTGGGAAGGAGGCGCTGGGCCCCCGCTCTCGGACCTGAGACTGGGAGAGCTGATTGTAGACGCTGAAGTGGGTGTTTCCTGGTGGCTGGGAGCTCTGGGCGGAGAGGGTGGGCAGCCGAGGCATCATGGTGGTGGCGGTGAAGTGCGTGGGGAAGGGCTGGTATGGCACAGTCTCCATTGTCTGCACACTGTAGCTGGTGTACGGTGACACTGAAGTCCACATGTTACAGCTCAGTGGAGGTGGGGGCAGGTCATCCACCCCAGACACCCCAGCAATCTCGGGCCCTGAACCTGAGTACATACAGGCTTCTCTGGGGGTCACCTCACTGCAGTAGGAGGGGCTCAGCATCTGCTGGTCGTAGGGAGGGGGAGAACGGAAGTAGTGATCCTCCCCCACAGAAGAGGGTGCCTCCAGATAGGATCGCTTGCAGGGGAGGTCCAGGTGGCGGGCACCATCTGCTGAAAGACAAAGCAACACTCAGGAAGAGCCATTGCCACCAGCCCAGGCCCCAGAGCACCCTGCTGGGTGCCGGGACAGCCTGTCCTTGTCCCTCCACGCCTGCCCTCCCCATGTTGCCATGGCACCCCCAGAGCCATTTTAATCAGCCACAGCTTTTATAGTGGCAGCTGCCAAGAAGTGGTCGGATTACAGACCCTAGTCAGAGGCCACGGGGGATACCACATCACCGGACACTGAGTGCCAGGCTTAGCCAGGCAGCACTGGGCTTTGATCCTTGGCCAGCCTGACTCTTGGGAGTAAGAGGCCTTGGTGTGCAGTGGCATTGTCTGGCGAGGCTCGTCCTGGCCACGGAAAGTGGAGGCACTTGCCAGGCCAGCCCAGGCCCAGAGGCCCCGTTTGTCTGAAGTAGCCAGAAAATTAAGGCCGTGAGGTTTCTGCCCCCATTCTCAGCTCCCAGGAAGACCTAAGGGAGCCAAAGCCACTCAGAGGCATGCTTCTGCTGTTTTAGAAGAGGAACTAACTTTACATGTAAAAGAAGAGCCATCAGACTGTTACTACCCAGGTTCCAACATAACGGTGTCTACAAAATTAAGAAATAGATATGATAATAAGTGAAAAGGCGACATACTTTTCAGGCTAAGCAGATACTCTGGAGGAAGATGACATCAGATGCCACAAATCATGTATGTGTGCCTTTCAACATCCTCTACCAGGAGGCCCTAACTATCTGGAATGGCACGACCTTTCCTGGAATCCAGGGCTGACCCAGGCCTGAGGGTTGGGGAGCAGCCCACTGAGCCAATTTACTCATCTGGGCAGGGTGTGGTGGCTCACGCCAGCACTTTGGGAGGCTGAGGCAGGCAGATCACTTGAGGTCAAGCGTTCGAGACCAGTCTGATTGACATGGTGAAACACTGTCTCTACTAAAAATATAAAAATTAGCCAGGTGTGGTGGCATGCACCTGTAATCCCAGATATTCAGAAGGCTGAGGCAGGAGAACCACTTGAATCTGGGAGGCAGGGGTTGCAGTGAGATAAGATCGTGCCATTGCACTCCAGCCTGGGCAATAGAGCAAGACTCTATCTCAAACAAACAAAACAAAACCCACTCGCCCATGTGCACACACAGGGCTGGAAACAGAGTGGGTGAGTGGGTGTGAAGGTCTATACCCACCTCTCCCCTCTGCCCCTGCTGATGGCATCTGCCCTGCCCAGGGAGACCTGCTCCTCTCCCTGACCTAGCTCTCTTCTTTGCTCCTCCCTCAGCCCGATTCTCCATCTTCTTTCCAAATCCCTCTCTTCTCCCTGCACTAAGCTCTTGATCCTGGCAGGCAGCCCAGTCACTCTAGGTCAGGAGCAAGCAAACTTTTTCTGCAAAGGGCCAGATAGGAAATATCTCAGGCTTTGTGGGCTGCAGGGTAACTGTTGCAACTACAGAACTCTGCTGTTGGCCCACGAAGCAGCCACAGACAACCTGTACCGTGAATAAATGAGCATGGCTGTGTTCCAATAACATTTCATGGATCCTAAAACTTTAGTTTCATATAATCCCCGCATTTCAGGAAATATTCTTCTTTTGAATTTTTTCAATTAGTTTGAAATGTAAAAACTATGATGTACAAGTAGCAGGCCAGGTTAGCTCCAAAGGCCACAGTTTGCCGACCCGTGCTCTAGGTCACTGAGTTCTAATGAGACTTGTGCAGGGGATACTCGGCTGAAAGGGCTAGTTCCTAGGAGCAAGGCTGAGGGAACATTCTGGATGGCAAGCAAAGTCCCCAGGCTCATTCCGAAGGGAATTTCAGCGGCCTGGTAAGGGCTTCTGGTGGAATAACACAAATCATCGCAATTCTATCCATGGAGAAATCAAGGCCTGGCACAGAGCACAGATGTCATGGTGCCCAGCTCCGGGCTCCTCCTCTTCACAAAGGTGCCCGGCACAGAGGGTGCTGTGGTTTGTCTTCCCAGCCCCCATCTACAGCCACAACAGCTTATTTCAACTCTCAAGCATCCTCTGTAGATCCCGGAATGACTGGGTGGAAGGCCCTCTGCACGTGGGGCACCAAGTCCTCCCTGTTCTGGAGTTGATGTTGCTTTGACAAATAACAGCCCCAATCCCAAAACCTCTGGACTGGGAAGCATCAGCCTCTTCCCGCGCTTCCAGGCAGAGCGCAGCTCACTGTGTGCCTTCAGCCCACCCCATGAGGCTCTCAGAGCAGTGACGGCAAAGCAGCACTTGGAACGGTGTCTGGGGACACCAGGGCTACAAGCCGTCGGTGAGGGTTCCAAAGGCTGCATTAAATATGAACACCAGCGTCCCTGCACTGGGAAAGATGGCCCTGCACCCAACCATGATTCCTAACCCTTCAGGCCCACTCTCCCAGGCCACACAAGCATCGGATGCATGTTTGTGTGTGTGTGTACGTGCATGTGTGTGCACATGCGTGTGTGTGGGGTGTGTGGAGTGGTTGTGGGGAGAACCTCACCCTTCCTCTGACCCTTTAGGGCTTCTAGACCAGGAGAGCATTACCTCGTCTTTTCAGGCAGTGATAGAAGAGGCTTGAGTCCCTCTGGGTGGGGAAGGTGCTGAGGGGCAGGTCCTGCGGCTCCGAGAGCTGCGAGTGCGCCCCATTCTCATGCTGGTAGTGCTGGAGTGCCTGGTGGGTGCCGAGCAGGGGGCCCACGTCTGGTGTGCCCGAGAGCTGGGGGGAGATGAGCCTCTGCCTCATGATGCTTTTGGAAATCACAGGGTATTCTTTGCTGAAGGGGTGGGGAGGGAAGGAGAGACAGGAAGAGAGTGACAATGCACTGAGGGTCAGAGTTCACGTGCCTGACCCCCATCTGTCCCCCCACTCCCGAGCCACGAAGCCCCACCTCTGCAGCCGGGCCACACGCAGATCACTGTCATCACTGCCCCGGAATCCCTTGGCAAAAGGGTTGTTCTCAATTTTTAGCTGGGTGATCTGTGGAGAGAAACCACACAAGGTCACCAGGAAGAGGGTGGGACTGGGCTGGCCTCTGGCCCTCCCTCCTCCCCAACCGAAGGCACAGGCAGAACTAGGGCAGGTCCGGAGAAATGGGCCTTGCCATTCACACCTGGCTTGTCCCTGGCCCTGATCCCTTCCCCTTGCTCCCCACCCTCCGATGCTCCCTCCTGCTCCCCAGCCCCCGGAACTGCCAGCGTCTGTCCCCGTGGGTCTCTCCCTGGGACCAGTAACAGCTTCCCAGTGAGCAACCTGGGTGTGCAGCCAGAGTCCTTGCAGCCACCTCATCAGGCTCTGAGTGACCGTTCTAGATGCAATTCCGACCCTGTCACTCTTCTGCTTAAAATCCACCACAGCCACAGCACTTCCCCCAGGGACCCCTGCCCACCTTGCCAGTTTCTGTGTGCATACTGTGGAAAGCAGATGGGTGTGGCAGCATGGCTGTTAGTGACCGGGACGCAGTGGGGGTGGCTGGGCTGGGCAGGGCAGTAGCGAGGTGGCTGGGGCACCTCCGCCCACAGCGAGAGGAGGGCCTTGGCTCAGGCTCTGCTCCCACACAGCTGACAGCACCCAGGGCCCCTCCCCATTCCCCACCCCTCTCTCCGCAGGCACCAGGAGATGAACCACGAGAAAGAAGACTGTGGAATGAAAGTGCCCAATGCTCAAATCACAAGGCAGGCTCCAAGCTCTTGGTTTTTACAGTTGCCAAATTGCTCCAATCCCCAAAACACAGAGATTGTAATTCCTCTGCGCTGGAGATGGACACGTTGAGGGTCCTTTTCTGTTCACCATTCAGTTTGTTCGTGGCTCTGAGGGACTCTGTAGGCTTCTGAGGGCCCTGCACCGGGCCTGCCCAACCCCTGCTGGGACTCAGACCCTGCCTCTCTGCATGGTGGAAGGAGTGCAGGGCAGTATAAAGTGGGAGCTGTGGGGCTGTGAGCAGTGGCTGTACCTTGTGATTCTGGTAGGAGGTCACAGAGATGAAGGAGGTCTCTGGGAACACGTGGGTGCAGAAAGCGGTGTTTTTGGAGCCGAAAGCGTTGTTCTCATCAGCCTTAACGATGTGGAGCCGCGGCTGGTACTTGTGCATGGAGTTGAGGATGATCTGGAAGAGAAGGGTCTCAAGCTGAGTGCCAGGTCCCCACCCACCAGCCCTAGGCCCTGACCTCATTCATCTGGTCCTAGGCTGGTTTTTCCTCATTCTCCTCAAAGCTCAGGATCCAGGAGGGCCTGCCGACCAGGACTGAAGCTCCCAATTCAAGAACCAGGCTCTGGGGCCCACACTCTGACCCCCAACCCCACTTAGCCTCTCTGTACCAGCACCCACGCCCAGCCCCAGGCCCTCCCTGATGTGACCAATTGCTTCACTGTGGCAATGGAGACCTTGAGTAAGCCCTTGACAGTGTAAAAGGCTATGTGAACTTAGCAAAGTGTAGCAGGTGGAATTCTGAGCTGTCAGCAAAAGTCCAGGGTGCCGCCGACTCACTGCTTAATCTCAGACAAGTCACTCGGATTCTCTGTGCCTCCATTTCCACATTTGTAAAATAGGATCATAACACATAACCTCCCTCCCTCAGGGGTTCCATCCCACCTCGCCTTTTCTCATACCAGTCTTACGCATGACCTGCCTCTTCTAGAAATACTTGGGTTTTGCAGGATGAGGGAGAGGGAGGAAGCTGAGGAAAATGTCCCACTGTAACTTTTTTTTTGTGACATCACTCATCATTCATTCATTCATTTCTTTTCTTTTTTTTGTTTTTTTTTGAGATGGAGTCTCATTCTTCTTGCCCAGGCTGGAGTGCAGTGGCACAATCCCTGCTCACTGCAACATCCACTTCCTGGGTTCAAGTGATTTTCATGCCTCAGCTTCCCAAGTAGCTGAAATTACAGGCATGCTTCACCATTCCCAGGCAATTTTTAAATTTCGAGTAGAGACAGGGTTTCACCATGTTGGCCAGACTGGTCTTGAATTCCTGACCTCAGGTGATCCACCCACCTCAGCCTCCCAAAGTGTTGGGATTATAGGTGTGAGCCACCGCACCTAGCCTTGTTCATGCATTTCTCAGCATTCACAGAGGCCTGCTGACAGTGTACTGGGGAGACCCAGATGTATTCTGCCCTCAGAACTGCCCGAGGCTACTCCCAGCCCTCAGGGAAGATCTTCGTGAGCTAGTGTTCAAGGTGCCAAGGTTAGACGGCACAGTTCCTAAAATAATGTCATAGAAGGCCAGAGGCCCCCTGGCCCCAAGGGCCCTTGAGGATGCCATGGGCTGGGGGAGGCGGGTCGCCTGGCTGGACAAAGCTTAGCAAAGCACCCTGGAGGCTCGGCTGCCAGAGCCCCTGAGGGCAGCTCACAGTAGTTGCTGCTCCAAACCCACTTCATTTGGCTGCGCCCCACGGTAGCAGCTGCATCATGTGCCATTAAAATGTATTTTTTATCGTTGACATTTGCCAGACGCCCTCCCCATTGAAGGCAGGACCAGGAATTTGGGGCATTTTATCAGCCCTGCAGCTTCTGTTAACCCTTTGGTTTCTGTCCTAGCCGGGCCAGACAGGCCCTCAGATCTTTTTCCCCCGGAGCTCCCTTCTCTGCAGCTGAGAGTGCCCTTTCCTTGGGTCGGTCGGTGTGCTGCTGCCCTTCTGGGTTCCCAAGGACCAGGTCTGGTGCTGACGCTTAATGAAAATGGTTTTTTTTTTTTTTTCCTTTCTTTTTTTTGAGATGAAGTCTGACTCTGTCACCCAGGCTGGATTGCAGTGGTGTGATCTCGGCTCACTGCAACCTCCACCTCCTGGGTTCAAGTGATTCTTCTGCCTCAGCCTCCTGAGTAGCTGGGACTACAGGCACGCCCCATCACACCTGGCTAATTTTTGTATTTTTAGTAGAGACAGGGTTTCACCATGTTGGTCAGCCTGGTCTCAAACACCTGACCTCGTGATTCACCCACCCCAGCCTCCCAAAGTGCTGGGATTACAGGCGTGAGCCACCAGGTGTGGCCTTGAAAAGTTTAACCCATTGGTGACCAGAGTGCTGAGAGAAAGGCCAGAGTCAGGCTCTTTCATGGTAAGCCTAGGCCAAAGTCTTAGTCTGGGAAGACTCTGTTCTCATTGTGCCCTGGGGCACAGGGACAGCCTAGAGAGCCAGCTCAGCTGAGAAGCGGGTGGGCCACAAGCTGGGCTGTGGGCACTGGCCTTCCCTGGGCTCCTTGGTTGGGCTGGGTGCTCCATCCAGCAGGAACCACACTTTCTGACTTCTGAACTGCCCACGCCCCACTCAGCCCTCAGTGACAAACCTTTGGACCCTCACGAGGCAAGTACATAACCTCCCAAACCCCAAACCAGGTCTTGCACCTGGGGACTTGCTGCCCCACTGGGGTCCTGCCAGGTGAGGAATGCAGAGTGAGGCTACAAGACACAGGTCCTGCTCAGAGAGGTCTTGTCGATGTTTGTCCCTTTCCAGGATTCTGGGGATCCTCCTGTGGTGAGAGGAACTGGGCCTGGAAAACACCTCCCAGCCCGTTTAGGTGACTCCATCACGCTGCACAATTCACAGAGCTGCAGGTGCCCACAAAGGACCCAAGTTCCTGGAAGATCCAGCAATGGAGTACCTGGGCGGTGGCCGATGCTCCAGGAATGCCCAGTTTCCACCTGCGCACCTTTGCACACGCAGTCCCCTCTGCTGTCTTGATCTTCCTTTCCCATTCTCTTCTCACCTTCTGGGCCTATCATCTCTTCCGGGAAGTCTTAGGTACAAGGGCCTGCTCTGAACGCCCAGTTCTGAAATTTACTTCTCATACATTGTCTACCTGGCTGTTACTCTGCTTCCTAGTGGCTTCCTATTTCTTCTTATTTTAGTTCTAAACTCCTCAGGAGAAAGGACCATACCCTTTATCCTTTGTACCTCTAGGCTCCTTTGCCCCCAGACAGGATCTAGTGAGTGCAAGGTTGGGTTTGGGAGTGGGCAGATCTGGGCGACGGCCACAAACCCTCCGTGGAAATGTGGCTCCTCCTCTCTGGTCTTTACTTGCTCATTAAAGACAAGATCATTTCTAAGGCATTTTTCAGGTCGAAAGTTGTGATGAAACATGGGCAGAGATGCTCTCCCATGAGCTCCCGCATGTTCCAGCTCCCTGGCATGAAGGCTCCCCTGCTCCGGTCACTCTAGCTCTCTAGCGGTGGCAGCACAAAGGGAGACCAGAGACCGTGGGCTGAGAGAACTCAAGACAGAGCCATCGGTGCCAGCACCCCATGCAGGCTGTGCAGGACACTAGAACAAATGGCAGCAGCCACCCCGCTCCTGACACCTGGCCAATCATGAGCCATTGTGGGCTGGTCACAGCCCTGGGTATCATCATCAACTCCCATTCTCCTCACCATCATCCACCTCCAGGTCCACTCAGTGACCAATTCCTGTGACTATCTGTAAAACAAAAGCTCATCCATTCCTTTTGTACACCCCTGCTTCAGGCCCCACCATCTCTGGGTGGGGTCCTGGGACAGCTCCTCCTACCTACATCTACTTTCTCTCCATTTCCACCTGCAGCACATCCTAGCAATTCACTCCCCTGCTCAGAACCTTCTGGGAGATTCAGCAAGACGCTCATTGCTTAAGAGCAGGGCCTTCAATATTTCCTCCTCTTTCCCCCACATCCCCTCCTACCACTGCTGCCAATAAATATAGGGCTCAATAAATGCCTTGTATTCACAATCCCAACTTTGGTCATTCCCTCTTGACCCTTGGAATAAAAGCCAAACTCCTTAGCCCATCAGACAAAGTCCCTGATGACTAGGGTGGGGAGACTGCCCAACACGCCTTCCAAGGCAGAGAACCAGCTGGTCTGGCAGGCAATCCTGCACAGAGGGAAGCTGCCAGTCCTACAGGGGCAGGTGGGAGCACTAGGTGAGGGTCACCCCAGTCACAGAGAAGTCAAGAAGGGTGCAGACGCCTTCATGATCTCTGTTCACCAGCATCAAGAGCCCTGAGCAAGCTCTTCTCCAACCATTGGTGTCCTCATCTATGAAGTGGGGCCTTTGGCTAAGTGGTCCCAGACCCCCTTCCGACTCTGACAGTCTGGAGCCTGGACAGGTATCTGGAAGAGAGTCCCACCCATGAGCCAAGGCAAGTATAAACTTGAGCCTTAGTCCCATCAGCCGGGAGAATGTGAAACCAGCTTGGTGACTCATACACCTGGCTTTGCTCGGAAGTTCCTCAGGCACATTAAACTACTTTGCCAGAGCTTCACATTTATATTTGCTGCAGAGGATATGGGGCCAAATGGGCCAGCCACGTCAGCAACCCCTCTACACGACTGGTTCCGTCATCATCATTGTTTCACAGAAATGGGATTCATTACGTTCTGGCCACAATTCAGAACCCTGTTCTATTTTAACAGCTGCAATTGCGCCAAACATCCCTCTCCTCAAGAGATTGCCATAGCATGCTTAGCCAACAAGGCCCAGATTTATCTACATTAGAATCACAGAACATTAGGGCATGGAGAGACAGATCGTGGAGATCATTTGTGTTCAGCTCTCTAATTGTACAGATGAGGAACAGACGCTGGTAGTGGGGACGTGACTCGCCCAGGGACACATAGCTGGTTGGAGACACAGTCCGGAGTAGGATCCAGATGGCCTTTGAGAGAGCACACACTTCTCTCAACAAGCTAAGAGTTAATGAGAAGGTGCCAGTTAAATGCTGTAAGGGATGTGGGTCGGCAGGCCCTACTGTCCATCACGGAACACACATTATCTGGATGCTAGCCACTCAACAGTGTGGCTAACGTCCATTTTGTCAGATACAAAAACCAGATTTACCCTGTATCACAATTTAACTTTCTATGACTACCTTCTCCACCATCCTTCTGATCCTCGCCAGCTCTACAAAGAGGTTAGGACAGAGACGGGATCTCAGCTTAAAAATCAAAGAAGAAAAGAAAGAAAACTGAGGCCCAGAATGATAAGAGGTACATCAAGGAAAATTCAGACTAGAACTGAGTCAGGAAGCCCATCAGCCCATTCAAGAGGCCTTGGCCAGATGAGCCTTTGGCCTCCCTCCCAGGGGAGCAATCCTGGGTGGCACCTGGGCCTCCAAACCTTCCTGCCTTC